ACCAAGTCGACGCTCTGCCTGCAGCTGGAGATGGCGGACCACCTCGACGTCCAGCGCCGGGCCGACACAACAGCCGCCTGGGAGGGCCGCAAGCAGAAGTACCCAGAGCTGTTCCGCAGCGACGTCAGCATCTGCCCGAGCTACTCCCTGTTTCAAGTGCCCTAGTAAGTCACTCGTGACTCGTGTTCATATTCGGTCTACAGATTTTAATTTTTCGGAAAAGTATTCCTTTTTATTCCTTTTTTTTTTAAATCTCGTATTTTTTTCCAATTTTTCCGGAAAATTTTTGGACTTCAAATTCCTTAATTCGGCCACCAGTAGGGAAGGGTGTTTGCTAGAGTGTCCTCGACCCTCCCCGACCTAGGTCTGGGGAACGGGACCTGCTTGATTAAAAGACGATTTTTGCTTCCTTGCAAATAAGCCGCGGTCGGTTACAAATCGGAGGCCGGGAACCTTCGTACTCAAACTTTCGTTTCGGAATACCCTAGTGTTTGATTGCGATTGCTGTGCATGTATGCGTACATATGGGCACATCCCTAAACTGGAGGAAGGGGGGGGGGGCACTGTCCGCCTCATTGAAAGCCAATTTGCGCTGCAACTCTTCGAAAATGTAAGTACGAGAGAAAGCATGCTCCCTCTCCTTCCCGCCTCCACTCGCGTATACCCAAAATTTGGCAATTTCAAAAGAACATAGCACATTGTGAAACAGTCTTCCTTTTGTGTGTGAGTTGGACGCGCGGGTTAAATGTTTCAACGCGTGGCAGTGACGCGGATCGGCCCTCTCGTAGGGACCCCCTGCCTGCAGTTCTTCATCTCATGATTTCATGATTTGACCTGGACCTGTGGTAGCCGTTGGACGGGCCGATGTAGTTGGAAAAGAGCGCAAAATCTTAGCATTCCCGTCCACCGTGCACACACGCGCCGGTTACGGTTTGCGCTCCCGGGGGAAGCCCCCCCTCCCCCCCCGGGCCCCCGGCGCGCCTGTTCCTGCCACCTGACGACGTGCACATGTAGGTCAATCCGATAGTTCTGGCGCGAGCACGGCGGGGGCCCTTCCCCCGCGCCATCCGCCCGCCAAAATGTTTCCGATAAATAGGCGCGAGCGTCAGGACCACCACTACCGTAGGGTGGCCCACCGGCGAG